CAGGAGTGGGCGTGGCAAAATTTTGATAATCTTGCGCCGATCAACGCCCGTTTGTAGGGGAAATGGTAACTTTATGGGTATATCTCCTCTAAAAATCTACCGATTTGGAAATTTGTTTTTCAAATATAAATTAATCTTAAAAAAGCTTGGCATCAAAAGTTGTTCAAAAAACTTCCAGTACTACCGCTAAAGAAATTCGTAATTTGGGAGGCTGGAGGCGAGACAAAAATCAAGTCAAACTCTACGAGCACCGGGTATAAAAATAGTACAGATTGTAACCTGAATTTAAAAATACAGTTGGTTTCACTAATACCATCAAACAGATTTAAATACATGATATAATAAGTTCAGTATATGATTAAACTTCTGTACCAATTCAGTATTTCCGTAAATTTACTCGTACAATTGTGCTTTTTAATGTTCTTTATTTTTATACCCCTGCAGAGGGTATTATAATTTTGGTCATTAGTGTGCAACGCAGTGAAGTAGACATCTCCGACCCTATAAAGTATATATATTCTTGATCAGGATCACCTCCAGTTGTCCGTCTGTCTGTTTCTACGAAAACTAGTCTCTCAGTTTTAAAGCTATCGACTTGAAACTTTGCACACACCCTTCTTTCCTTTGCACGCCGTATATAAGTCGGAACGACCGGGATCGGCCCACTATATCCTATAGCTGCTTTATAACTGATTGATCGGAAATAGTATAACTTTGGGGTTTTTAGAGTAAGAGAGGTAAAATGTTACCATACTTGAGAGCTATTTAATACGACGACAGGGAAAATAATACGACACGCCAAATTTCATAAGGATCGGCCGACTATATCCAATAGATTCCATTTAACTGATTGATCGAGAATGCTATTACTTTGATGCTTTATAGCTAGAGAATTCAGATTTTGTAAATATGCTATTTTTGGCAAAATAATACAACATGCCAAATTTTATAAGGATCGGTCTACTATATCCTATAGCTGCCACATAACTGATTGATCGGAAATGGTATAACTTCGGTGTTTTTAGAGTTTGAGAATTAAAAATTTACATGAGAGCTTTTTTTTGCAAAATAATTTGAAATGCAAAATTTCATAACAACCGGTCGACTTCCGGCTTCATAACAAAGCTGCCATATAACTGAACCACCGGAAATGGTTTTTGGTAAAAATAACAACTTTGGTATTTTTGAAGATAGAAGCTTAGGTTTTTTTTTAAGATTTTTTATTGTAAGTAATTGGTTGTATTATGATATTCTCATAAGGATCGGACAACTATATTCGATGTATGCGACATATATCCGGTTTTAACTGCAAGGGTATACCAACTTCGGCTTCGCCCGAAGTTATCTTTTCTTTCTTGTTATTGCTGAAATCAAACTTGACTAGATACATATGAAGATTTAGAGAGAGTAATTTGATGTTGTGATGTGTGATGTTCTTGCGACAACGACAATGATGGGTGTACGATGTCATAGGGTGATTCTTTTGATTTGAAAACCTTATTAAGGCGACTAACATTTCTCATTAGGGTTCTGCCTAATGAGTCTGCCTACTACTACTACAACATCACCTGTCCTCATTTTCCCTGGTGTTTAAGTTATGTGTAAGTTTGTGGGGAAAAACTAGATTTTTTAAGTCTCCCTTGTCTTAAACTTTTGTTTTTACTTTCTTTGCTTCCTTTTTTTTTTTTTTTTTTTTTTGAGCAACACCATCAGCTCTGTCAAGGTAGGAAGTGGCCAATCCGAAACCTTTATTACCAAGTGTGGCCTCGACAAGGTGACTCGCTGTCTTGTATACTCTTCAATATTTTAATGGAGAGTATTATAAGAAAGGCTGGTGTACATCGGTCGGGCACGATATTAACCAACAGATGTGTCCAGCTCCTTGGTTACGCTGATGATATTGATATCATTGGCCGCACCAAGCGTGATGTCACAGGAGCCTTCGGGGCTATTGAAAAGGAATCAGCAAAAGTAGGACTAGCAGTGAATATGGAGAAAACAAAGTTTATGGTGTGCTCTAGCAGAGAATCGCGGCGCCATGATTCTCAGCTGACTGCAGAAAACTATAGCTTTGGGTCTGTCAAGGAGTTTATCTACCTAGGCACTGCTATAACAAGCACAAATGATGTCAGTCTGGAGATTAAGCGGAGAATAACACTTGCCAACAGGTGTTACTTTGGGCTCAGTAGGCAGTTTAATAGTAGAGCTCTCTCTCGACGCACAAAAATCACACTCTACAAGACGCTCATTCTTCCAGTACTCCTATATGGTGCGGAGTGCTGGACAGTGACGCAATCAGATGCAGCTGCTCTTGGAGTGTTCGAGAGGAAAATTCTTCGTAAAGTCTTTGGCCCAATCTGCGTGGACGATGTTTATCGCATCAGATACAACCACGAGCTGTATGAGCTGTACGGTGATGTTGACGTAGCCAGTCGAGTGAAATCTCAAAGACTTCGCTGGCTGGGCCACGTTGCCCGTATGGATGAAGACGCTCCGGTCCGTAAAGTGTTTGATGCGGTGATTGTTGGGACACGAAGGAGAGGACGACCCCGAACGCGATGGCAAGACCAGGTGATGGAAACCCTGTCCACACTTGGTGTTACCAACTGGCGAAGGCGCGCCCAGGACAGAGTCGCGTGGAGGCACATTGCGCTTCAGGCCGAGACCCGATAAAAGGGTTGTCATGGCCATATAATAAAAAATTGCTTCCTTTTTTTTGGTTTGCCATTTCCCTTTAGTTTCTTTATTTACAATATTCTTCCCAGCGCTGCCGGCATACTTACAGTGTGGAAGCGCTTAAAGCGCTTACTTACAGTATTCGATGCTCTCTGATTTGCTTTTTTTGGCTCCAAAATTTGGGAGGAAGAAGTTTTTCCCAATAAAAAATATAAATAGGGAAACGTACTTTTCTTATTTGTTTAAAAACTGTTTCTTGAGAAGCTTTCTCATTAAAAATAAATGAAATGAAAATGAAATGAAAAATAATCATTAAAAATAAATGATTCTAGTACGGGACAGAGGTGTTACTTTTTAGAACAACATATCCAAATTTCAGCTAGATCGGTACCATAGAATTTTGTGAATCACCTGCGCCGCACACAAAATGTCCGAGAAAAACGCGTTTAAAGTTTAGACGCTACCGAGAAACTCATACTTTTCGGTGTAGGTGCGCTTTCGATTATGGGCTGTATCTCTGTCATTATTTGATATTTTTATTTGAAACTTTAACAGTACATTCTTAATAAACAATACTATCGAAATATGTGAAAAAAAAATCGATTTTTTTCAACCTCACACATGAGACTACATCCTTAATTTGAACAATAATGTTTTTATACCCTTGCAGAGGGTATTATAATTTTGTCCAAAAGTGTGCAACGCAGTGAAGGAGACATCTCCGACCCTATAAAGTATATATATTCTTGATCAGGATCACCTCCTGAGTTGATATGAGCATGTCCGTCTGTCCGTCTGTCCGTCTGTTTCTGTTTCTACGCAAACTAGTCTTTCAGTTTTCAAGCTATCGTCTTGAAACTTTGCACACACCCTTCTTTCTTTTGTACGCAGTATATAAGTCGGAACGGACGGGATCGGCCGACTATATCTTATAGCTGCCATATAACTGATTGATCAGAAATGGTATAACTTTGGTGTTTTTAGAGTTAGAGAGTTTAAATTTAACATGAGAGCTATTTTTGGCAACACATTACGACATGGCATATTTCATAAGGATCGGCCGACTATATCTTATAGCTGCCATATAACTGAACGATCGGAAATGACCCAACTTTCGTGTTTTTGAAGATAGATAGCTGGAACTTGGTACAGATTATATTTTTGGTCAGTTAATCCGACCTACGAAATTTCATTAGGATCGGCCGATTATATCCTATAGCTGCCATGTAACTGAACGATCGGAAATGGTATTTGGTCGAAATATCAACTTTCGTATTTTTGAAGATAGAAGCTTGGAACTTATTTTTTAGTTTTTTAATTGTAATTAATTGGTTTTATTATGATGTAATTATAAGGATTGGCCACTTTTATCCGATGTTTGCGATATATATCCGGTTTTAACTGCAAGGGTATATCATTTTCGGCTCCGCCCGAAGTTAGCTTTGCTTTCTTGTTTATTTTGTTTTTAATAACCTTGTTTAATCACAAATCGTTTTCCGGAAAATCATTTGGAATTACTTAGACGCAAACCCAGACAAAAGTAGCGTTGAAATTGCGATTCGCATCCAGCCAAACTTATAGTGTCACCTCAACGAATAGCAACCTTGCTTGAACCTGATGACATATTTAATCCCCCCGCAAATTCCCGGCAATTATTTAAATGCTATCTGAATATACACATAATAACTCATACTACCACAAAGGTTTTTATTTGAATTCTGTTGTATCTTGCTAGATACAATCCACGAAACACAAATATTTTTAGGTTAGAATCAACAAAACTACTGTTTACGTATTATATTAAAAACATGACAACAAAAAAGCACAAGCACATAGCACATACTTACCATGCGAAACATTTTCCATTTTAAGGTATTTTAATTGGTCAAACTGTTTAAAAATTCGAAAACGCCAAAATTTAGGAACTTCACTAATCAGCAAGAACAGCTCACTTTTAAGAGCTAGTGCAAGGCGAGGGCTCCACAATAAAATACAAATTAAATATTTTCGATGTCTAGGGACTTTTCTTAGCTTGAAATAATTGTAACATTATTAATATATTAACACGAACTTTTTAGGTATTGGCCAAAATAAAGGCATTTCATCCCAATGTGCAATGTTACTTGAAAACCTCAGAATCACTTCAGAATTATACTGTGCTATTTTTATTTAGCCAAAATATGAGTAAAAGCTTTTAGAAAACATGAGCTTAATATTTAAATAAAAAATTTAAAAATTTAATATTACCTTTTATTTTCGTCTCTAATATATAAAAAAAATTTTTATTAAAATCAAATACATTGTTTATTTTTCTTTCAATTAAGGTTCTGGAATGTGTGGAATAACAAAATTCAAAATGGAAAAACGTTCAGATGGAAATGCAGAACTTGCTAAAATTTCTTTTGATCAGTTTGATGTAAATAAAGGTACAAAACTGAAATCAGGTGGTAATTTTGAACACTTTAAAAGTTTTAATGATTCGGATGATCACCAGTTACTAAATCTCCTTCGAAAAATGTCGTCTAAGTTTAACACGGATCCAAAAGTGTCATCTTATCATAAAGAATTAAGTCGTACGGTTCCTATCGATCCAACCATGTTAACTAAAACCATAAGCCCAGATGGTATGAATCAATATGAAATTCCAAAATTTCGTAATATTGGCGCCCAAAGGAGCCTTATTGAGAATACGGACTTGAAGGATATTGATCGTTTTAGTACACGAGGGGATGATGGATTTATTGCGGTTAGCACCAATAACCAGATGCCTTTAAAAGTAAATTTAGCTGTCCTGGTTCAGGATGATCCGAGTCTATCTGGTCAAACCTACACAAATTGTCCCAGCCAAAATGAGTCCAACGTGAATGCTTGCAAAAAAATCGAAGACATTATGCCTAAGCTACAAAAAGACTGCGAAAAAATGGGATCACATGTTATGTGTCCCCGAACATTCCGTTGTATTAGTAAGTATTGGTTGTGCGACGGTGATGATGACTGTGGAGATTATTCGGATGAAACACATTGTGGGATTCGAACCAATTGTACAGATGATCAATTTGAATGTCTAAATGGATTTTGCATTCCGAGTACGTGGCAATGTGATGGTGAAAATGACTGCAAAGACTTTTCTGATGAAGCACATTGTAACAAAACTAGTTGTACTGATGAACATTTCACATGCCTTGATGGATTTTGCATATCCTTGGCTTTTAGATGCGACGGTGAGCCCGATTGCATTGACAACTCAGATGAAAATAAGTGTGCTGCGGTGATGAATAGCTGTCCAGACGGTGAATTTAAATGCCGTGGGGGGCTTGGTGGTTCTGGCGGTCCTAGTGGACACTGCATTCTAAACCGTTTCCGGTGTGATGGGGATAACGATTGCGGAGACTGGAGTGATGAAGAAAACTGTTCTCGAAAGCCATCGCTATGTACGTCGAATGAATACAAATGTGCAGATGGAACTTGTATTCCGAAACGCTGGAAATGTGATAAGGAACAGGATTGCGATGGTGGTGAAGATGAGAATGACTGTGGTACCGTAAATTCAGGTCACTCATTATCGTGCGGAAATGATGAATTTACTTGTAAGAATGGACGTTGCATTTTGGTAAGCTTATTTCGTTGCAACCGTAACTATGAACAACAAATTTTTATTTTTAAATAAAGAGAACATGGCTTTGTGATGGATATCCAGATTGTATATCCGGCGAAGATGAGGTGGAGTGTCACTTACAGTGCGACTTAGGTCAGTTTTTATGCCCGACAAAAAAAAATGAAACCAATCACAAGTAAGTAATAAATTTACAATTCTATTTAAGCCATTATCATTTTTATGTATTTTTAGAATATGTGTTCATCAAAAACATATCTGTGATGGCTATAAAGATTGTCCCTCTGGTGAGGATGAATCAAACTGTCCTAAGCAACAAAAGTGCTTAGAGGCTATGCAATGTGAACAAATTTGTATAAAAACCAGTTTGGGGATAGATGAATGTGCTTGTCGACTAGGATATCTCATGGATCAAAATCGAGTTAAGTAAGTATATTTAATCATAAAATCCCAATAATTAATCAAAATCTTAATTTAACAGCTGTACCGATATAGATGAGTGTCAGTACCTAACTAGTCCAGTTTGTTCTCAAAAATGCCATAATACTATAGGCTCTTTTATATGCTCATGCGAAACGGGGTATATCCTTCGACCAGATCTCCGATCTTGCAAAGCATTGGGTGGTGCCATGACTTTGTTAGTAGCTAACAGATGGGATATTCGCAGAGTTGCACTTAGCAATAATCGTTATTCAGCTGTAGTCAAAGGCTTACACAATGCCATTGCATTAGACTTTCATTATCGCAAGGGTCTTATATTTTGGTCCGATGTATCCACCGATATTATAAAAATGGTATACATAAATGGCACCCGAGTTCGTGACGTTATTAAATGGGGATTAGAGTCTCCAGGAGGCGTTGCCATTGATTGGATTCATGATTTACTCTTTTGGACCGATTCTGGAACAAGACGGGTTGAGGTATCCAATTTTCAAGGAAATTTTCGGACTGTTATTGCATCTTACGATTTAGATAAACCTCGTGCTGTTGTTGTACACCCAGGCGAAGCCTTAGCCTTCTGGAGTGATTGGGGACCATACCCAAAAATAGAACGTGCTCACATGGATGGAACGGAAAGAAAAATTATAATTTCAAAAGGTGTTACTTGGCCAAATGGCCTTGCAATAGACTACCCAAGTAGCAAAATTTATTGGGCTGATGCCAAACAGCATGCCATAGAATTTTCAAATTTAGATGGATCCGATCGAAATAAAATACTTAGCACCCATTTACCACATCCATTCGCCATGACTATATTTGAGGATACAATGTATTGGACGGATTGGAATACAAAGACGGTGTCTGCAGCTAATAAAATATCAGGAAAAGAATTTAGAGCGATAGATGAAATTTTTCGTTTTCCTATGGATATTCATGCGTATCATCCGGCACGTCAGCCTGATTATGTAGACCGTTGCCCAAAAGATCGGAGAGGTTTGCGTGGAGGGTGTTCACACTTGTGTTTACCAAACAAAACATCTCGCCTATGTAGCTGTCCAATTGGTTTATCCCTGAAGGAAGATGGAAAAACTTGCAAAAAAACAGGCGATAAACTTATATTAGTCGCTCGTCGCAAAGACATCCGGTTACGACAACTTAAGAATAGTGAGGAAGATCCCTCGAATGTTGATATGATTATTCCATTAGATAATTTAAAACATGCGGTTGCCCTAGATTGGAGCAGCGATTCTGACTTTATATATTGGACTGATGTGGAGCGAAGTACTATTAATAAAGCACGTCTTAATGGCAGTGACCAGCAGCGTGTGGTCCACTCAAATTTAATCTCACCTGTTGGTTTAGCATTGGATTGGATTACTGATAAGCTGTATTGGACGGATCCATCTACAAATCGAATTGAAGTCGCTACAACAAATGGAAAGCTACGAACTTTGTTAATATGGGAAAAACTCTACAAGCCCAGGGATATTGTTGTCAGCCCAATTGGTTAGTTGAACCTATTTTTATATGTACATTTAATATACATTAAAAAAAAGGTTAATTTTTATTTTCTTAAAAGGTATTGATGTTGTTTTAAAAAAAAAAAAAACAGGAAAGGAAAGCTAACTTTTGGCGTTGCCGAAGTTGATATACCCTTACAGTGAAGATCGTATATAGCAAATATTGGATACAGTAAACAGATACAATTTTTAAAACATAAAAAAAAAATGGCCCAACCTTTCATATTTATTTAATGAAATTTGATATATTATAAAAAAAAAATATTTCTTTGGTGAGTTCCAGAGCTGGGACACGCTTGAAAGTGCGTGTTTCACAGAGTGATAAACCAAGTTAGCCACTTTGTGCCTATGTGGAACCAGTCAAAATCAAAATTAGCTTAGACCCTCTACCTTCAATTTTATTTTTTAATTTTTGTTCACGTTTGTATTTTTATACCCTTGCAGAGGGTATTATAATTTTGGTCAAAAGTGTGCAACGCAGTGAAGGAGACATCTCCGACCCTATAAAGTATATATATTCTTGATCAGGATCACCTCCTGAGTTGATATGAGCATGTCCGTCTGTCCGTCTGTCCGTCTGTCTGTCCGTCTGTCTGTTTCTACGCAAACTAGTCTCTCAGTTTTAAAGCTATCGTCCTGAAACTTTGCACACACCCTTCTTTCCTTTGCACGCAGTATATAAGTCGGAACGGCCCGGATCGGCCGACTATATCCTATAGCTGCTATATAACTGATTGATCGGAAATGGTATAACTTTGGTGTTTTTAAAGTTAGAGAGTTCAATTTTTAGGTGAGAGCTATTTTTGGCAAAATAATACGACATGCCAAATTTCGTAAGGATCGGCCGACTATATCTTATAGCTGCCATATAACTGAACGATCGGAAATGACCCAACTTTGACGCAACTCGTGTTTTTAGAAAATAGAAAACTGGAACTAGCTACAGATTATATATTTGGTCAGTTGATCCGACCTACCAAATTTCATTAGGATCGGCCGACTATATCCTATAGCTGCCATATAACTGAACGATCGGAAATGGTACTTGGTAGAAATATCAACTTTCGTATTTTTGAAGAAAGAAGTTTGGGACTTTTTTTAGATTTTGTATTGTAAAAAATTGGATTATATATTCCTATTCCCATAAGGATCGGCCAACTATATCCGATGTTTGCGATATAAATCCGGTTTTAACTGCAAGGGTATATAACTCCCTTCCTTTAAGGAAGGAAAGGAAAGGAAGGAAAGGGTATTCCTTTCTTGTTTTTTATTACTATTAAACAATTTATTACTATTATTACCTTCGCTCTTATTTTCTTTAACCATTATTCTAGTCTCGTCATTGTTTTTGACTTCATATACGTTGAGCCACTAACCATACAGCATATAGACAACCCATTTTATACAACGAAAATGGACGCAAAAATTTCTTGCGACAGGCCCCAGCAGGCCCCAGAGCGAAATCTTACTCGTTTTCTTACGCTCACCGTTCGTTCATCTTATGCTCATATTCTCAGTCGCTGAAAGAAGCGCGACGAAGAAGGTTGGTCTGCGCTTCGATTCTTCTTTGTATGTATGCGTGTTGTTTGCTCCAAATGGCAAACTGCGAAAATGCCTGTTTCAGGCCAGCACCTATGGTCCCAGTAGAAACGCATCAACCGAATTCAAATTTTTATTATCAATCAATAGTTATATTTAAAATCCGTCCGGAGTTATGGACAATTATTAAATTTTATAATGGGACCTTAACTTAATGAAATATTGAGTAGTAGAATGTTTGCTTATCCTAGGAAACTAATTTTAACAGTAAACCTTAGCGATAGAATTCAAGTTATTTATTGTCGGGCCCTTTAGCGGCCCTTGTTGGTTTTACAACTGCAGCTCAGTCCCGTTCGCCCGAGTGGCAGAGGTCCAGTGGGTGGGTCCGTTTCAGCCTCCTTGTGGTGTAGCTGTTGTCCAGAAGATTGATGGGCTCAGGGTTAGGATGTCGGTCCAGCCTTTCCACGTACCTATTGGCGAATCGCTGAACTTCTTCGCTCACATATGGGATTCTCAGTTGGGCGTGGATTGTCGCATTGTCGTGGAACGGATAAGCTCCAGTTAAAGTTCTTAGGGCCTTGTTTTGGGCGATCTGGATGATCCCTCCATCTTAAGCAGTCAAATCTGTTGTATAAGAATTTTGGCCTTTGTGACAACAGGACAGATAAGCCCGAGAGGATCATATAGTCGAGCAGTAAGGGACAACATAGATCTTTTTTTTTGGCGCATGGCTTGTACACATCTCTCGCGGAGAAAACTTACAGATGTCATGTTTTGGGTTCCAAACGAGGCCTAACGCCTTTGTATCTTCGTGCTCCCCGACAGATCTGATACATGTATTAACTGCTCACATTTGGTTGCCCACTTCGAAAGAACAAGCCCGGCCGAGCCTAAGATTTCAACTACTTCGTTTCGCATCGACGCATCGCAAGTTCTTCGATTGTATCCGCGCCTGACAAAAGATCGTCAACATAGAAGCTATTCGATAAGACTAAGGATCCTAGAGGGTGAGAAACTGAATATATCTCACTAAGGTACTTGAGGCAGCGGATAGCTAAGAACGATGCGCAGGCCGTGCCGTATGTAATGGTATTCAAGCGATAGACTTGTAACTTTTCATCCTTATACTGTCTGCATACTATTAGTTGAAAATTACGATGGGATTTAGTTATTTCGACTTGTCTATACATTTTGACGATATCTGCTGTAATAGCGTATTTGCGAAAACGAAACCTTAGCAATGTCGCGTATAGACACGGCTGTATAGTTGGTCCGATCATCAGCAATTCGTTCAATGACACTTGAGAGCTTGTCTTACTCGTTGCATCTTAAACCACTCTAAGTTTAGTGCTTGAACTTTGCGGTCTGAGCACACATTGATAAGGAGTAAAGAAATGAAGCTCAGTAGGAATTTCATCATTGACCAACGTGGCCTAAGGAAATGTACTCCTTCATAAAGGCAACGTACATGGAATTTATTTCTGGGTTATTGGACATCCTCTTTTCTAGTGCTATAAACCACCTTTTTGCGATTTCAAACGACGAGCCGAGACAAATAGGGCTGGACTTAAATGGCAATGAAACTTGAAGTCGACCGCAGGGTAACCGAACAATACTCTCGATGAATGCCTTTTCGCACATAATTTGCTCCGGAGTGTAAAGTTTATTCTGTGCAATGCTCGGGAGACTTTCTATTTCCCAGAATTTTCGAATCAACATGTCTACACTGCAATGATCTCGAACCGCGCTCAACATTGAGGTAGCCTGTTTGAAATTTGTTTTTTATGACTTGCACCGACCTGATACGACCCATCCATAAACGGAATTTTGTAGGACTGCACCAAGCAATATGTCAATTCTCTGAGGTTTGTGGAACAGTGGATCAGCTAACTTTATGTTGTCAGGGAGGTTCCAGTCTAACACTTGAACTGCCCTCTCTGGTTGGGACGATTATATTGACTTCAGAACAATAAGTTCAGCTTCCAATTGAAATGCCTGTGTTCGGGAGTGTATAGTTGCTTGAACTACATGGCGAGCTGATACAGCTGATTGACCTATTCCAAGAAGGTTTGTGTCTTTTCGATCGCGCTTAAGTTTTAGAATTTTGGAGAACTCCTCTGTTATAAAGTTTACCTGTGACCCGGAATCTAAAAGCACACGAGCAATGTGCATTTGACCATTGCTACCTGTAATGCTAACAAGGGCTGTAGCTAATACAATTTGATTTGAGTCGGCTGTCATCACGTGATGGACGGCAGGGGTGGTCAATGGTTTTGTCACAATCGGCTCTTGAGTGGAAGCTAGCTCGAAAGGTGAAGAGTCGGAGCTGTATCTATGAAGCAGTGAATGATGTGGTTTCGAACACACGCGGCACTTAGAGGATTGGCACGAAAGAACGGAATGCCCTTTCCTTAGGCAGTTTATGCACAATGGGAATGTCTTAGCAAATTTGAATCGTGTAGCGACTGTTGCGGCCACAAAGGAACTGCACGCGTAAATGTAGTGATCCACAGCTTTGCAATAATACCATTTTGGATCCTGGGTTCGAGTAGTATTGGCAACGGACAAGGAAGTTTTACTAAAGTTCTTTAAAGAATTTGGCCGACCCTTAGCTTCATCTGCTGCTAAATGTTGGTAGCGTTTATTGAGTGCATCTTGCGTCTAAACTTTCTTCCCATTTAGACTTTGTTTTTGCATCCACTTTGGTCATGATGATGTGTATGAGCATTGCATTTGCTATTACTTTGTCACTGCCTAGTGAAACCAAGGATTCGTAGATAGCTGTGACAGTATCTATCATGTGACGCAGTGACAAGGCGGACGGACCCTGCGTTGAGGGAATGTCGAAGGGACGTGAAATAAAATCATAAAAAATTAAACACTGATTGTCGTACACCCGATTTAAGGTGGCTAGTGCCTTTGGGTAATTGGTCTCAGTTATTTGGTATGCTTTCACGGTCCCCAACGCTTCTTTCTCCAGACATGACAACAGGTGATTAAATTTTTCGACGTCGCTAAGAGTTGGATCGCTATCTATGAGACTGGTGAATAAACCAATAAAGTTCTTATACTCTGAGTAGCATCCGGAAAACTTGGGTAAATTCATTCGAGGTACATTTTTATTGTGGGAGCTTGTGGTATTAAGGGTCGAGTTAAGTAATGGTGGTCTTTGATTCTGTACACTAGCTGACATATAAAGAGATTTTGTGGCTACACACTTATCCTCAAGCTCAGCTCGCGAGGACAATACCAAATTAATGGAATCAATTTCCTCTTGAAGGTTAAATGCACGATTTATGTAATTGTTTAAAATGTTTAATCTGCACTCTAATTCGCTGCCTCGAATGGATACGATTTGTTGTTGCATAAACTCTCCCATGCGGTCTATGTCACCCTTAACACTTTCAAGACGCGAGAGTAATGAATTAGCACGATCGTTGCCATCAT